TTTAGATAGGTTTTTATTACCTTATCTTTCTGCAAACAATCTTGTAAAATCTGTATTGATCTTCTCTATCAATATATATTTTAAATTTGAAAATACTGTGTTTGTATTCATCCCTCCCCCCTTCTACAAACTGTTTCTCTTCTTGTATACCCTTATGGGACCAATAGGCGTTTTCTTCCATCTATATGGCATCTACTTTTTTCCATCCTCAACCGATGCCTGACATCCAAGACTGCCGGGATTGACACCTGCAGCAGTCCATTTTTCAAGTTCTTCCACGGGATTGTATACACGCGCAGATAGGACTATGCGCTTATTATATGGAATGACCTAGTCTAGCTGGTCAACGCCAAATGTTTCCCATCAAAAGCAAGGAAGTTTTTGTTGTTTCAGAGGGTTTTACAACTGATCATCAAAGCCATGATGAACGCCAATGATGACATCCCGGCCAGGGTAAACAGTGAAGTTGGGCCGTCGTTCGTCATGACACGTACTCGTCAACACACGAAAGTTGAAGACTTGGATTCAACAATGAAAATCCCACCAGAATTATTTGTTTTCGCTATTCAGAGGGCTCAGTGCGTTATAGATTATAGTAGAGCGATAGATCCTATAGCTCAACCAGAACCGGTTGAACTTACCCCGGGATCAACCCATGCCATAACTGAGGGAGAGGGTCTAGATATAGCTGAGAGCATTCAGGAACATGTGTTACCTGAACAGCATTGTGAGAAGAGGGAAAATATGATTGAGAGGGGTAATATGGAGCGGAGAGACTCTAATCAGCACAATACTTCAACTGACAGTACTTCCACATCTTCTTCAAGCTCGAAAGATACTACATCTGATAATGAGGCAACTCAGGGTGATGGTAATATTGATGATGATAATGATGATAATGATGATGGTGCTGACAATACTGCTCATCCAATGGCTTTACAGAATATTCAAGTGGGAGTAGTGATTGAAAACATTGAAGATATATTTCCTGAAATAAAAGGTCAACACACTTGCCCAAGTCTACAGTCGTTATCTTTCAATGTTGATGAAGACTTTGGGGGTACTTACGATGATTTCGATCGTTTACTGGAGGATATTCCAGTTGACGGTGATGAGGGTGTTCAAGTAGAAAATGTTGAGAGGATGAGTGACAAGGAAAAAGATGGTGAGAGTGTGAGTGGAGCTCAAAATGAAGAACATGCTCCTATCTCAGCCGATACAGTTAGTCGGGCACCCACATCTACTATCGACATTCATTCGTTGAATGTTCGTATTGAAACAGACATAGCTAGCCCAGCTATGCATTTGCACACCCCTCCCGGCCACTCAACTGGTTCTCAACAAGCAGTTTGTTTCAATTTCTCACGGGGACTTAACACATAATCTATCTGCTTCTCATTCGGAGAATGTGGATATTGAAGATAGTAGGCCTCTGCCCCGGCCTATGACATTGATTCTGACGGCACCTCGAGTCTAGCATCGATACACATAGGTACACACGAGTCGAGAGCATCTGTTGCTCAACCTGCAGTTCTTAGTGAACTTGCCGGAATGACCAGAGTGGAGTCTTTTGACTTACCATAAGGACCGGTCGGAAGTCCTACCAGTGCTAATATCATGCCAACACTGAACGTAGACACAACAGTTTTTTCAACTGGTAATCTAAGTGATCCAGGTGTGAGTTTACCTGACTTTGTATCAAGGAAGTACTTGGACGGTGCCCTAAAGGTTGTTCAGGATCACATGGAAGCGCAGATTCTAAGTCTAAAGAGGATGATGAAGGGAAAGGAGCCGTTAGTTGATAAACAACCGTCTGTGCTATCACCATTGCCTGTGCCTGAGCTTCCGAGGGTACAAGATCAATCGGTGGATGAGCTTAAATCGTTGTTATACGCAAAACTGATGTCTACTCAAAATCCTGATGCGGCTGATGCAGACTTGGTTAGGCTCCTTCGACAACTTGTAGATGATAACCCAACTGTTCGAGCCTTAGAGTTCTTGGCCTTTCAAGATGTAATTGCTGCTAATTTCTCAAAAGTTAGCAAGCTAATTACATCCAACACTCAAGCTTTAAAGAATTCTATTGATGCCCTATCCGAAAGGGTATCGATCTTAGAAGATATGTGTCGCGCTCAAGCCACCTCCCTGAAAAGAAGGCATGATGATCTGGATGATCCTGATCATCATGAGGGGGAGATAAAAAGACAGAGATTGGCTGAGTCGTCTGTTCATGTTCAAATTGTTGAAAGGGAGCCAGATACTGAAGCGGTTAATGTTGAAAGTCTAGTTCCAGAAAGAATAAGGGAAAGGACTACAAGCTTGGAAATAGTTGAAGAAGAGATAGCCATGGAGACAAATCCTATGATCGAGCCAATGGTTGAAAAGCCGGCAGACTCCACTGTAGAGACAAGGTTGTTTTTGGATTTGTCTACCAACGTGGGCTTTAATGAAGATTTCGCTAAAGAACTGAGTGGAGTTCACGACTTTGGTGAAGATATTGAGAATATTGATGAGTCATCTGAAATGTACTTTGACATTGAAGCTGATATCAATGAAGATGAACCAATCTTTCCATTCCAGGGTGATCATCAGACTTCTTCTGAACCTTCCACTTCAGTTGATCATGGTGCTTCAGAAACTCTGAGAACGGCGTATGATCCTACAGAGATGTTCACTAAGAATTACGTGCCGTTTGCAATACGAGCTAATTTTCCAGGTTACGACAAAGCACGAATTAAAGATCCTTACCTGGAAGACATCTACTTCGGTATCTTTCTTCGACAACACAAAGCTCTTAGCACAGATAAAATTCTTGGGATTCATAAAGAAACCCGAGAATATCGTTTGGAGTATAAGCATTTTCTTAAAGCAAAGCGCCTCCCGATTAGCCAAGTACGGACTAGACATCACATTGTCTCCATCAAACAAATTGATGCCAATAGACTCCTTAGAGTTTGGTATCCAGTGTTTACCGTTACAAGACAAGATGGACGGGTCTGGACGTTCAACGAAGCTGATTTCTCTAATCTCTACTTAGAAGACTTGGAGCATATGTATCATGAACTACGGAATCTGACAGTAAGAAGAGAATGAGCAATTATTGCTTTAGAGGCGATCAAGAGATTTATGAAGAGTCATATCAAAGTATCAATGGTTCTAGATATACAAATGGGTCTTGAAGACAATCAAAAGATCATTAATTTGAAAAGACCAGATCAAGAACTTGATGATATTGAAGGCTATCCTCTTTACATTATACTTGAAGATCTGGAGTTTGGTGTGGTCTACGATGCTGAAGGTCGGATAAAGAAGTTTATGAGATTTAGAGAGCTGAACAAGTACAGTGATGGTACTATAAGGATGGTGTGTAGTGCACTAGAGAAAATCAAAGTTGACAACGATAAAGCCGCGAAATCGGAGAGAATGAGTACGAAGGAGAGGTATCTTCTGATTAATGCTTTGAACCTGCTAGATGACAAATTGCAATACCGGAGTGCTTTAAGGAGGCTTGAGACACTACTTGGGCTTAGAAAGTCAAGATTCACAATGTCTCGAACTTGAATCCAAAGGGGAAGATTGTTGGGTTCAAGATTGTGCTTAAATGTTGTATTCAATTTCTCTCAATTTTGTAATTGCTTTGTAATAGTTAGCTTTACAACTTTCCTAGTATAAATAGTTTTTAGCTGGTTAATTGTAATTAGTTCATGCTAATCACTTTGTAATTTCTCTCTCAAGAAATATCATTTCAAGCTTGGTGAAAAATCTCTCTCTACTCTTAATTGTTCTTGAAGAATTTATCTGATTGTGATTGATTATTGAAATTCACAAAATCTCATAGGAGTTAGAGCTTGAAAGTTAGAACTAGAATATAGGAGCGAAGCCACAACTAGAGTGAAAAGCCTTATTGCGTTGCGGTCCTGAGTAGCTATGGGGTGTTGATTTACTTGGACCATTTTGGGCAACTCTCATTGGATGGTAAAGGTCGAATATGCTCAACTATGCTTGACAAATAATTTATTGAAAACCCTCAAAACTCTGTTTGTTGAAAATCCCTCGATTAAGTTTGTCGAAAACTCATTGAAAAAACCCACAAATAGTCAACTACGATTAACCAAGTTTCATCCAAAATCCCTCACAGTTTTCATGGACTGTTTGACGGAAACTATCTATCAAATTTTTTGTCCAAAATCCATTGAAAAGTTGCTTTCTGACCAAGTTGTCATCTTCTAGAAAAGTTACCGAAAATCCGTTACAACACCACATTTTCAAAAGAAATTTCAAATTAAAATATTTGGTTATTTTATAGTGTTGTTCAATATTGGCTTTACTAAAATGAAAAGTTTTTGAAGTTGATTCTCAAAATAGAAATAAAGCAATTGGTTTTCATTTAATTATTTTGGTCCAAAAACAAAAAAAAAATCGAATAATATAAAACTTATTTAGCCAATCACCAAAACCCATATATATTTGCATAAATATAATACACTTTAAGTTATCTATATGAGTTTAAGTTAACATAAATCATACAAATATATATATATATATATATATATATAATAACAAAAATAAAAATAAACAACAAAAAAAGAAAAATGAACCAAAAAGTTACATACAATATTTGGAATAAAAAATTTGTTAATGAAACATGAAACCTGAAACCTTGACAAAACTAAGGTGTGAAGTTAAAAAATAAAAAAACAAAAGTGTTGTTCTTTACTTGTTATAACCTTCACCTTGAGCAGCACACATTCTTTGCCTCTTTTTATATCTAATTCTGACCATTGTTGCATTGTATGCCTACTAGCTATGACCATACTACACCCCCATTAATTAAATCCTATATCTCCATCCTCCTTTTCCATTCTTTTTCGGATTGATATCTGAACCATGGCGGAGTCGGAGGCCGGCGGTGGATCCAGATCTTTGGAGTACACACCAACATGGATCGTTGCTGTTATCTGCTCCATCATCGTTCTCATCTCTTTGCTTGCTGAACGCGGCCTTCATCTTCTTGGCAAGGTATCACCTTCCATTCATTCTGCATAAACATTCACTATCTACTAACAAAGAGAAGATCCACATAGAGATCGACAAAATATGTTATAAACTTGCGAACCTTATATGAAACAACATATATCTAAAGTATGCAAAGTTACATGGTGGTGTTTCATAAGCCAAACATTCATTAATTGTTTTGTATGTAAACATGTTTATAACATATAAATATGATTTTCACTTGATTTTCAATATATATATAGTCAAATATACACACATATATATATATATGTGTGTGTGTGTATGTGTGTGTGTGTGCTGAATAAATGAAGTTCTGCATGTGTTCCAATGGTTTCATAGTGGCTAAAACGAAGTCATCAAGATGCGCTTTACGAGGCCTTGCAGAAACTACAAGAAGGTACATAAACTTAATTGCCAATTGCATATATATGCTTCACGTCGATTACTGAATATTCTTGACTGCTGCACATGAATTTTGTATCAGAATTGATGCTGTTGGGATTCATATCGTTGCTGTTGACTGTTTCTCAACGTACGATAAGCAAAATCTGCATTCCATCACATCTTGCCAACTACATGCTTCCATGCAAACGAAAAGAAGAAAAAGAAACAACCCATCATTTAATCTTCAATTTCGGGCGGCATCTTCTGTCCGAGGAAGACCCCGGTACGAATCACTGCACCGCCAAGGGAAAGGTGCAACTCGTTTCGTTAGAAGGATTGCATCAACTTCATATATTCGTATTCGTTTTAGCAGTTGTTCATGTCATCTTCTGTGCCACCACCATGGTCCTTGGAGTTGCTAAGGTAATCTTCTACTTCTACTTCTACTTCTACTCTTGTATATAAGAACCATGAAGCTTACTAAAACGCTAATCAAAGTTATATGATTGCCAAAAATAAATGACGTCAACTATAAAATTCTTTTGGCATCATGTATCTCGTTCGTGCAGATACGAGAGTGGGAGCATTGGGAGCACTCGATAAACAGGCTCAATGGACCAGCGAAGAACGGTAAACTTGATTTCTTTATGGTTCAATTCAATCGCCTTCCATTTCGTTTGTTACATATATAAATATGTAACACTTGTTTATGATAATTTATATAAACCGTAGGTCACGGTCACAATTATCGCCAGTTTTTTGCGCAACGTACAATTGGACATTACAGAAAGTTGCCAGTAGTTCGATGGATTGTGAGTCTATCTGTTTCTTAACTCTTCAATATCACTAAATGCCCATTAATTCTTTAGTATGCATAAACCTAGCTTAATGGATTGGATGGTGATGCAGCTTACTATAACAAAGATGAAGGTTTAACCCGTTGATTCTGGGAATACCTTGGAACAGTCTCTTTTAAATTTCGTTGATTCAACGGATACAGAACTTTAGGCTCAAATCAAGTTCCCAACCAACTAAAATTTTGGATGGAAAATGGAAGTCGTTGTATTAAACCACTAACCATCCATATTACACCAAAACATAAAAATAAGAGCCTCAAACATAAACCGACTTGAAAAGCAAAATGATGATGGACCAAACATATAAAACCTAAATGAAAAATGAAAAATATAGTATAAAAAACAAAAGTGTTCCCAAAACATGTTTAAACGGGTTTTTAGGCCTTAAAAAAAACCCCGTAGGCCCCTTTCGATGCTATCCAACGCATACTCCTCTTTCCAAGCTTCGAATCAGCGTATTATGTGCTTGAAACGAAGCTCATAGCAAAACTTATGTATGTTTAAGCGTGACGTCCCATGTTAGCCCAATTATGAGCCTCTAGGAACAATAAGGCATGGTCCTCTACGCCAAATCCTACATCAGATGGGGTGTGTGTGTATAGTGGAAAGTTCAATTTCAATTTTTTTTCCCCGTTGTAAACTGGGGGACAAAGGAGGTACGACATGTGTCCCTACATCATGAATAATGAACGCAAATATCCGTTAACTATTCATGATAAATAATATATGATTCATGATACATGATGAATTGATTAACCATTCATGATGAATGATACACCATTTATGATGAATAATTTGTGAATGTATGAGACACATGGCGTGCTCTCTTTCTCCCACGGTTCACAAGGAGACTTAGGTTTTTAATTGAACATGCTCTACACACACACACATACTGGGAGATTGAAACATGAACATGTTCAGAATAAGAGAACATGAAAACGTTCAAATCACAGGTGATTTTAAACTAAATATCACACTTGATTATGGTTTGGTAAATGCAAGAGCATGAATACATATGCCCTTGGCTTGCCAACCTAAGAGCATTGACCGAACCTTGATCACTAGTGATTTTCAATCCAAAATTACATGTGATATAGACGTTTTCGTGTTCACTTATTTTTACCTCTTCTCATTTAAACCCAACTCATATATGTACACCTTTGTTTGTAGGTATCATTCTTCAAGCAATTTTATGGATCAGTGACCAAAGCAGATTACCTTGCACTTCGAACAGGATTCATACAGGTAAATTAAACACTTCCAACTGTTCACTAGACCCACTGCAACATAATATTGGGTCTTTTAGGACTCACTTGCGTCTACAACAAAATCGAATTTATAAGATGCCAAAAAAATTAAGTGTCCTAACATATCGCTTTATAGGACTTAATTCATAGGACCAAAAAATAAAGTGTCCTATCTAAAGGCATTGTAATAGGTTTATAGGATGTTTTTGGATGTTTTAACAAGTTTTTTTGGATAGTTTTTATACAAGCGTCCCATAAACAAATTTTATAGGATACTATTTAAAAAAGTTGTCCTATAAAAAGATGAGTTTATAGGACACTTTATAAAATTGTTAATGCGACACTTTATATTAAAAGTGTCCTAAAAAACTTGTTAAAAAATTCAAAAGCGTCTTATTAACTTATTACAATGCTTTTAGATTGAACATTTTCTATTGTGGTCCTAAAATTAAGTCCTACAAAGCAGTAATATCATATAAGGACACTTAGAAACCAGTGACATCCTATAAACCCAATTTTGTTGTAGTGGTAATAGAATAAATTTATGGATTTAAGTTTATAGGACCTGAAGTCCTATCTAACTATGTTACAATAAGTTACTAAGACGTTCTATCTAGAAGTTGAGCGACCTAATATGAGAACAAAACTAAAATGTTACCTTTATACGTTACTTTTGAAAAAAAATATACTATTAGTATAAGACAACGTTCAAAAGTGACCTATAATGATTAAGTTTTTGTTTCATATTAGGATGTTTAACTTTGTCGATAGAATTTATTGGGTCGCTTTAATACGTAAAAATTTATTGTAACACCTTTATATAGAACCTTGACTTTTGGTCCAATAAACTTAAAGTCTCGTTAAATACTCTATTAAGACGTCCAATAATGGATGGTCGTCCTAGAAGGCCAACTCTATTGCTCACTCCTGATTTCATTTCTTCTGTCTTGTAAAAAATGTGTTTTCTATTCGTAGGAACATTGTCGTGGCAACCCGAATTTTAACTTTCACAAGTACATGTTACGAACATTGGAGTATGATTTTAAAAAAATTGTTGGCATAAGGTATACTTCACACTATTATTTGCATAATAATTTAGTTTGTGTTGGGGCTAAATATCTTCAAATTTGATCATCTTGTTGTTACGTTTTAATCTGGTATTTATCGTTTTCCAACAGTTGGTATTTGTGGCTCTTCGTCATTGTCTTTTTGCTTCTCAACATTAGTGGTATGTACCTCACCTATTACATTCTATCTTACACAAATGAAACGACAATGAAACATATGTTAGACATCACTTTAGGAATATGCATTTATGCTATGTCTTTGATACAATTAAAAGAACATATCAGGACTGTGATGCATGCAATTAATGAATACTATCTATAACGTCATAATCGGAAACCATTATATATATTTTTATCATTAAACGTTAATCTTCTTTGACATGTTTGTGAATCAAAATAGAAAAACAAATAAAATACATTTCATTTTAATGCAATTTAAATAATAAAAAAAAGAGACTAGACTACTATTTTAGTCTATGTGGTAAATTTAACCCTAACTACGAACAATGTTCCCAGATTTTGCTAATTACAGTAATGGTCACCATAGTTTGCAATTTGCTTTGAAAACGGTCCCTTGATTAACACCGTTAAAATTTCTCAACCAAGCGGGGGTGTTTTTGTATTTTTATTATCGTTTGTCTATGTTGTCTTTACCTATTAATTATATATATATATATATATATATATGCATGTATGCATGTAGGTTCAAACAAGAATGATAACTATTTAAAAGATCAAGAAGAATATCGTTAATGTACAAAATAATACATGATTCCTATACACACACACAGACATATATATATATATATATATATATATATAGAGAGAGAGAGAGAGAGAGAGGACGTTAGATTACAAACCTCCTGATTCGTGAAAACTATACAAACCACTATCGACTAATAAAAAATTTTCATTTTCTATTTTTTATTTTAATAAGGGTATAATTGTCATTTTACTGTATAACGGTTAATATTAGAAAATCGTAATTTACTCTAAATTTATACCCAAAACTACATTTTTTTGAACTCAAAAAAAGTTAACAAGATAATAGTTTTCATCTTAAAACCACATGATGGGTTGAGGGATCGGGGGAGATAAATATCACCTTCACCGAATTTCTGAATTCTCCTTTCTCCCATAAATTGCTTGTAAATAAATTTATTTAAATTATGTTTTATAATTTCTCTTTGAATATATATATAGGAGCGATCAAATGAAAACACCATCATTTGTAAAAACCGTACAAACCACTCTCATACGTCGATTTTATTGTTTAATCTTATGAAAAAAAATTCATGAAATTGTTTAATCTTGTGAAATTGTTTCATATAATATTTTTTTTGATGAATTTGTTTCATATATGGTTATGAAATTGTTTCATATAATACTTTTTTTGATGAATTTGTTTCATATATGGTTATGAAATTGTTTCATATAATATTTAATGAAATTTTAATGAAACTGTTTCATGTATTTTCTCTAAAATTAAAATAATGAAGATGATAATATCCATGATTAAGTTAATCAACCTCTCATAATTACAAAAAAAATGAACAAAATGAAAAATTATGATTGGTTGAATGAGTTTTTCACGGTTTTTACAAATTGAGTGATTTTTATTTGAACGCTCCCATATATATATATATATATATATATATATATATATATATATATATATATATAGGGACTCGTTCAAATGAAAACGTGCATTTTTAAGAAACCGTGTAAACCAATTTCGACCAATAGAAAAATTCCATTTTTTTCTAATTAAATTTAATCAATAAGGGTATTTCGGTCATTTACAATATTTTCTATTAAATATGGAAGTTATTAATAAATCTTAACTAAGGAAACGTAATAAAGGAAATTGTATAAATGATAACATTTAAATATTTACTTATATTATAATATTAAAAATTTGAATTTGATATATTGTTATGAGATTGAATCTGCAAACGTGTTTTGAAGATTGTATTGCATTATGAAATGAAATCGTAAATTATGGTTCAAATTAAAAAATAATGTTAATGAAACAGGTTTCATGAAGGTGAAACTGGTTCATGTTGTAATTGATTCATGAGTAATATGAAATCGTTTCATGGTGAACCACGTTTTAGTGATGGTGTAGTTGATCCGTTTAGTAGGAAAAAATATGGAACATGAAACGGGTGCATAATTTATTTGGTTCGTCATGAAATAATTGCATGATGAAACGGGCCGGTACATGATGAATCTGTTTCGTGATCTTGAAGATTGTAATATGCTCCAGAATCTTGAAGATTGTAAGGATTAAAGAAAAGAATGCATCAAATCATGAGTGAAATAAAAAAAAATAATTTACATGAAACAGGTTTCATGAAGGTGAAACTGGTTCATGACGTCATTGAATAATGAGTGGTGAACTGCTTTCATGGTGAAACACGTTTCAGTGATGGTGTAGGTGATCCATTCAGTAGATGAAATGCAAAATGAAACGGGTGCATAATGTAGGCGGTTCGTCATGAAATAATTGCAAGATGAAAAATAAATTAGTTTCACTAATAATAATAAATGTTAATGTAAAAATAATAAATTACTTTATAAAAAATAAATTACTTTCATTAATAATATTTGGTTTTATCTTTTTGCCCTTATCGGTATTATAAAATGTATTTTTAATTTTTAATATCCTTAAATAATCTTGATTAATCTTAACCATTGATTAAGAAAATGAATGAATGAAATTAGTTTACACGGTTTACATAAATAAAGACGGTTTTTATTTGATCGCTCTATATATATATATATATATATATATGATCGATACGTGAAAATTAGGATATGAATTTTTTTATTTTATAAGAGGAGGGTGTAGGGTAGGGATATGATGGTGGTTTGTTAGTCGGATATATATATATATGCTTTAACTATGTATGCATTATAATTTATTTTAACAACATAAAATAAAATAAAAAGGAAAAAATGTATTTTATTTATTTATTAAAGCTTAGTTTTTTAAAATCATATTAACTAAATTGCCATATAATGGATATATACTTTCTCTATTAAAGCTTTTGTAACGAGTTTTGTAAATGGAATGCAGGTTGGTACACATACTTCTGGTTGTCGTTTTTGCCCCTCATTGTAAGTTTGGAAATATGAAGTTTCTAATGATTTCAAATGACCTCTGCATGCACTATATATATATATATATGTAGTAACTTCCCTTGGGGTTGGTGCAACAGCTTCTACTGCTCGTGGGTGCTCACTTAGAGCACATTATTACTCGTTTGGCAAGAGATGTTGCCGAGAAAAGTGGGGACGCAGTAAAACCCACCGACGATCATTTTTGGTGCAATAGCCCTAAAATCATCATTTACTTGATTCATTTCATCTTGTTTCAAAATTCTTTTGAAATCGGTTTCTTTTTCTGGGTTTGGGTAAGTCTATAATTATCACGTGACAAAATCCCGAGCTTTCTTCTCATGAGATATATAACTATAATTTTATCTATTTTGTCACACAGACAACATATGGATTTGACTCTTGTGTCATGGAAAAAGTGGGCTACATTGTCACCAAACTTGTTCTTGGGTAAGGCTTAAAACGTTTCTGATGATCCACAGAATATTACATCACAAGTTCGGCAAACAATAATGTTAGAAGACCCATACCGAGGATCTACGGAGGAGCAGGATATGGCTCAAAGGGATTCTTGGAAAAAGATGAATTAATTAAACATATATCATTAGGGGCGGCTACAAGTGAGAAGTCGGTTAACTTACGAGAAGTGTGAGAATGGCTAAATCACATGTGATACACATACCATGTTGACCAGCCATTACACTGAGCGATTTTTTTCACGCAACCTTGGTCGCATTGACGAGTTGCGTGCATCCTTTTGCATGAGTTTGTATCACATGTGATTTTGCTCTAAAATCCACATTCGATTATGCTTCTTCGCACTTCTTGTAAGTTGATCGGTTTCTCGCATGACTCTTCCTCTATATTAGTATTATGCTATTAGGGGTACATTGGTAAAATCACAGCTAGTACAAGATGCTTATACATACTTCAAATATCACAAGAATAAGCTTGTCTAAAGATAAATTATATCTATTGTTTTTCTATGGATTCTAATTGCTAGTCATATGTATAGGGCTATTGTTCAAGTGCTTTGCAGTTATAGCACTTTACCTTTGTATGCCCTTGTATCTCAGGTATGTTTAGTAATAGTGAATATTTCTCGTTTTACCCTTAATATTTTATTCTATGTAAAGCATACGTTTCATCTGTCTCAAAATAAATGTTTGTAGTTCTAATTAAATTTATCTCAAAATAAGTATCAGTTTTCAGTTCTATCTTTAACTATGAGATGTTAAAATTCGTTATTCATATTATGATTAATAGTAAAATTGTCATTTAATTAATTAAAAATGTAATAATCCCATATTTATTTATTGTATGTTGCAGATGGGAAGTATGTTCAAACGAAGCATATTCAACCAACTTCAACTTGACCTCATCTCTGATTGGGTTGGAGAAAGGGGGCGACCTGACTCAAGCTTAGCTGGAAGCAGTCATCCTCACAGATTAGAAAATCAACCACGACTAAATGATGAAACTATAACAATCGATCAAGGAACTACAACCTCGACGATAGAGTTGTCAAGTCCGGTTCTTATTCCAGAACAAGTATAACCACTTGGATTCATCAATTAACCAATATATCGACTTTCGATAATATCATTAGAGGCTTGGGAATGCATACTTTAACATCGTGTAGTAGTATCGTTTGGTTCTTTTTACTAAAACTTGACTTAGTGTGTGAGAAAGATGGATAATTATTCAACATGGAAAAACAATTTGTCTTTTCACTCCTTAGTTGATCAATAGCATGTAGAGATCCAAGAGTCAATTAGTTTTTAACATATTTTCAGTTTTCTTCTCCTCTTTGTTGGGCCCATTTATACTCTATACAAGAGAATATTTTGGGCACATTTTATCTACAAGTTGTTTTATGCACTTCTAATATATACTAAAGAATTTGGCTTTGTTCTTTCTTTTTTTCCTGAGCCCATGGGCAGGTGCTCAGTCCGCTCGATCGTAGGGATGACGAATGTCGAGTCCGTCAAACAATAATTCCAACTATCCACTTGATTACAATCAAAGTTTAAATAGTGGTAAGTCAGGTCGAGTTTACAGAGACTCGATTTTAACTATAAATGCCAAATAAATAATTACATAGATTGTTACTTACAAGTAAATTGGGGGGGGGGGGGATTTTTGACTTAAAAACTAATTGTGCAAGTGATAGATAAATTGAAACTATCAAATATAAAGACATCTCGACATTTGGGTTACATAAGTTATTTCATTTTATGTTGATGATATTATTTCAACTATACAAATCATATGATTAAACCGGTTATAATCCTTAACAAGTTGTTGAGGATCAATTCCAAAACAAATAACATTTGCAAGCAACAAGCTTTTCTCTTAGCAATAAAGTGATTTCAAGTGCAAAACCCTAATTAAAGCTCTAATGAAACTTTTTCTGAGTGAGTTATAATACATAAGATTGGTTAACTCTTTTTACATTTTACCCGGTTTCATATCATAACACCACTTCAAACAAATTCTTATATGCTATTTGTTACTAGCATTGATTTCCTAAACAATTACAAATTTAGTAATCAAATTAACCTTCAATCATCAAAGCTCCATACAATTACAAGTGTTCAAGTTGCATAAAGACTAAAACAATTAGTATCAATAAAGTATGGAAATTGGGAAAATAACCAAATGTTTGGACTACACCATTTTAAACAACCACATGATTCAGAAATAATAAATGTTTATAATCCCAAATGATGAAAACAAAAGGAATCAGCCACTCAAGGATGATTTTACACCCAAAATATCAAAGATAGTGAAACGCCTAATTGTAAGAGTCAAGAAATGTATAAATCCCACTTCAGGCTTCAAAATTATCTCCTCCAAAAGCTTTGATCATTCTCTACTAGTTCAAGTGCATAAGATGCCAATAACCGTTTTCTAAAGATGGATAGTGAATTATGTGGGCACTGGTGGGACAGTGATGTTGAGTGTGGAGTGTCTACAGTGAGCAAAGCTATAGAAGAGCTTTTTGACTCTTTTGAATCTCTGACGAGATTCTTCTTCAACTGACGGGATTGCTCATGATTGAGCAGAATCATATAGACAGCACCAAGAGAGAGGTATGTCACGTCTTTAAAGACTTTGAGACACATAGAATAAATGTCCCATGATTCTGTGGAGATATTTAAAAAAACTTTGTCAGAGTCTCAGAATTAGAATATTCTCGACCAATAGTCTTGAGGTCAATAAGTAAGTATTAAAAAAGCTGATGTACCTCAAACAAAGATTCATTTTGCCACAAATGAACATTTCATATTGTCACACCAAATTACCTTTCTTGATTCTTGTACTTTGTGTTTACCTTCATATTGGACACAAAGTGTGTCCCACATGGATTTAGAGGTTTTAAGTTTCATCACAAAATGATATACCTCGTCATGGAGTGACATATATATGATAGATCTAGCTTTTGTATCAAGAGTCATCTTCTTCTTGTCTTTATCTCTCCATTGGTGAGGGAGCTTTGGAATCTGCCTTTCAGGGATGCCGATAGTGGTAGTGGTGGCAGGAACCGCTACAAATATTGCAAGTGGAACATATGGTCCATTTTCAACATAGTAGGGAATCTTAGAAACCACACTCTCAAGAAAAAGAGACATGCGATTTTTTCTAGAGACTAAATTTGTCCCTGCAAAATCTAGGAGGTTTGACAAGAGAGTCATTATCATGAAAGTTGGCGTTTATGTTTTGCAAAGCCATTTTTCAAAAATAGCAACAAGGAGGTTTTCAATAAAGAAAAGAAAACACTGCTCTAATACTACTTGTTGGTCCCAATAAGGGTTCTACAAGAGTTTAAAGGTATAACAGTTTATAGAAAGGGGACTGAATACAAACGTAGAAATTTCACTTTTTAAACTCTTTTATCGATGCTAGAAGGATACTCGCGCAATATAGCAAGATACATCTCGATTTTAATATTTTTTTTATTTTGTGTCTCTGTCAATGTTATAACACGGTTTTATATGCTTTTGAGAAAACGATAATGTTTTTTATGTTTGAATAAAATATAAATTTGAAGATCCCATTAAAACTTGAAAAAAAATATCGATATTAGAATCAAATTAAGTATTGAAAAGTTCTATTTTATATTGGGGGCGTATATGATACTTGGGCTCCAGAAGGAGGAGATGTAAGAAAAATCTTATGGAAACCCTAATCTTCTTGTAGAATTTATAGTCGGCCAATTAAAAATCGAGTTTTTTTTTTGCAAAGCAATGAAAAAGGCGATAGAATTAACTGAACAAACAGATACAAAAGGAATTCAAGTGCAAATTGCAGAACGTATTGATTTGACCCCATAAGCAGGACCACCACCCAATAGCCCCAATAACAGAGAATCTCCTAATTGTTTCAGCATAAATAGAAAGATATTCTTTAACCAGAAAGAATTCGGTTCAGACCCTTTTGCCTTTCCGGTGGTACAAATGTATTTAAGTAATCGTCGTTCTGTAAGACCATAATGAAAACGCAATTTTAGTTTTTCTTCTAGGCTAATACGATATTGGGTTATAATTTAATAATGAAGTAATTTATTTCTAGTTTAATAATATAATTCTTTTATAAAGATAATAATTAAGTATTCTCTTAAATGTTAATTATTATCCTAATTGCATTTTAGATTTTTTATAATTAAAATGAGTTGTTTGTTCTGTATTTGATTATTTTTATCTGCAGTTAGTTATACAAATTCAAAATGGAGATTTAATAAGTTGTACTTACGCATAATTTACTTGTAATTTTAAATTTTAAATAATATGCATCAATCAACAATATTTTATGCATAAAAAATGGTTTTTAAAAGTTCTTTGTTAAATGTTTTATAATATAGTATTTAATAACAAAATAATTTATTTTTTGTTTAATAATATAACTTTTTATAAAGATAATATTTAAGTATACTGTCAGAACTCAATGATTATCCTAATTATATTAGATTTTTATATTTTAAATGAGAAGTTTATCTTGTATTTAACTATGTTTATTTGCAGTTAGTTACATTGAGTTTTAATAAATTGTACATATGCACATTTTACTTGAAATCTTGAATTTTAAGTAATATGCATCAATAATCAATATTTCATGCATAAAAACGGTTTTTAATAGTTTTTGTCAAATGCTTTATAATATAGTATAAATAAGAATATCAATATAAAAGTTACAGATTGTTGCAGAATAAGATAAGGTAGAATCTAATCTAAATAATCTATGAAAAGCATTAAGTAGATGCACAAAGAAAGATAAAAAGTAGAAAAGATCAGAGGAAGATAAGAAGTAAGAGCACTACTAGAGGAAGACTCTTCTTGGCTATTTATACCTACTGCATTAAATGTCAGTCAGAAAGTACAATTCACATGGAAAGCTATTAGTGGAGGACTTGTCCTTTGTCCTTTAGATATGCAGGCTTTTAGCCGCATATGAACAGTCGCATTCACAAAGTTGGTAAGCACGTTTGGAAACAATAAAGTAACTCCGTACGTGTACTTTTCTATGTAAAACATGGGATTGTCCTTTTGTGCATATAGGATAAGATAAAAATAAATCACTAAGAAATCTTGAATCAAGAATCTATAAGAATCATAATCATCATTATCATCTATTCCTATGTTAGTGGAGTGTTAGGTATTTTCCTCTCACTAGCACTAGGAGACGGATCAATCAAGGCCTTTAGTTGAAGAAAAACATTGTTGAGAAGCACCCTTAGCTTTTTGGTGCTCCTTAGAGTAATGTTTACAGTTTTCTATCATCAATAGAGAATGATAAGCTTGAGCGAGAAACAACAGTTGGTTGATTGAGATGTTGTATGATGGCATGATTTACTTTAGTTTGAGCATCCAACTTTTGATGGAGAAAATCAAGAAATTCATTGATGGCCGATTTTGCCTAAGAAACTATGACTTGGAAGTTACTTTAAAATGCATGAGTAGCAATGTATGACAAGGGTTCCCTTTTATAGTCGCTATTGCATTAAATGCTACTATCCAACTTTAACGTGTGTTTTCATCTGATTTGTTGATCCATGCATGTTTGTACTCTTCATTTCAGCCCTTGTGGTTGATGCAAACACTTTTTATCCTATCTCATCCTTTTGTATGCATAGGGTACAATAAAGAAAGTATGACAGTAATGAAATAGTGTTTTAGAACTTGCATTGGCGGACATGTTGAGCATGTTCCGTTACTAGGATAAGTGTTGGAAGAGTTGGTGAACTAAACTTGCTGAACAAGTTTTTTCTCCAAAATCCAGCTTGCTAGTAGTAGTGTTTGTCAGACTACTATTTAACTTTATATTGTACTGATCTTCTATTGGCTAGATGAAAAACCAATTCACTTTGGTAACGATCTTGACCTTACTTCAACTAGTTTTCGATTTTGTTGAAGGCTTTTTGTTTTTGGATCAATGCAGACTATTACAAGACTTCTACAAAGAAAAATCTTATCTTTTCTATTCTGAAATATAAGTTATAGATCGAATTCCAGCTAAAGAATTAATTATAAAGTTGAAACATTGAACCAACTGAAAATAAAATGTGGGTTTTTGAAAATCAAGATGGAATTTCTTAGAAAATATGTCAATCGGATTCTCCTATATGGATGGATAATTATCAAATCTAAAATTTGATCTCATATTATATATAAGCCATAGATTTGATGGTGACTAAGATTTGAAGCTTTTGAACACAACAAACTTCTAAGGTTTTGATTTTAGTTCACATGTGCCATATCCGATTAATGTTGTATATCGGATATGAGAATTACAAAGAAAGTAATAAAAATTTCTTTCTAAATATTGAATCGGATGTTAATTGTATTATTTAAAAATAAGGTGGTTGAAACCAACATAACCAACATCAAAGACACAAGCTTAGACTTGGTTTATTCAAGATTAGGTAACATACAAGAAAAGGGAGGATTGGTACATGAGGGGCGTTCAGCATCACCAAAAGGAATAATGCCATAGTTTTTTCAGTGACGTGACCCCTGAGGAAACAAATTAGGAATGAGTAACATACATGGGCTCAATGGCTTGTTAGCAGGGAAGGACCTAGTGTATTAGATATGATGGAACGGGTCATCGTTTTATTCCTCTATGGTAGTCTAAAAAATTATAGTCGTAAAAAGTGCCACCATATTAATTTGTTATGCACTACCATATATATCTTGAAACTATGATGAGAACAAAAGTTTATATCTTATTAGAGTTGGTTTGCAAGACTTTTCTTCCACCCCAACCCGAGTTCGAATTCCATTAGTGTCGTTTTCTTAGTTTTTATCTTTTTAATTTCAGATTTATTATGTTTCTGAAGAAAAATTGCAATAAAAGACTTAAACACAGGACCTCACATATGAAAAGCAATGAACTAACCAATAAACCAATGATGATTTTTTTGAAAAATCTTTATATTCATTTCTTATTGTCAAATGGTGCCACCACTTGAAAAAATTCTAGGTCCGTCTTTGTCGGTTTCAGTGATCTCATGATCAACGACTTTAGTCCCCATCTTGTAGAGAGGCTGGTCACCTCGAGTCAGGTAGTTATCAAAGTATCTTCGGAGAAGAGCACTAGGAAATCTGGTTTAGGGAATATCAGGCTTAATTGCTCAAAGTCAATCTTGTGGTCATAGATGAGGGCATGACCAATCTTCAGAACCAAAGAGTTGGTTTGATCGAAAACACCACTCTTGCCACCCATGTAATTGATGAAATGGGCAAGAAGGTAGTTCCAGGCGGCAGGAAGACGAGCTCGTTCAATCTTGGTGACGATTTTTCTAATGGTGTTTGGTGGCCAATTGTAGCCCAAATCATCAAGCACCTTGATGATTTTCTTGGTATTGGCCTCGGGTTGTAGGTTTTAAGTCTTGGAATACCAAGAACAGATCGAGGGGCGGATACACCAAAGAAATCTTGCTTGTCATCAATGGAGAAGATGTTCTTGTTGGTCCTTGCTGAACTCAACAGTAAACGAGAATTTCTGAAGAAAAAAAGATCCATATCTGCCCACAAATGGGGCAAGAGTGTGAGCTTTACCTAAAGCACATTTTGGCCAAGAAGTTGGCAGCATTATGATAGTATGATTTTGATCCTGGTAGGGCAAGAAGAGGCAAATGGTTGTTTGCCTTGAAACTGCAATCTTCAAATTGGAAGGTGATGTTTGATGGTGCCATTTTCAGAAGAAAGATGGAAGAAAAACAAAGAAAGATGAAGGCTGAAAGCTTAAGATGATGATTGCAGTGTTCTTGAGCACATGAATGGCAAGAATTATTAATAGAGAGATTCAGGGAGCATAAAGAGTGGCTTAAGGAAGCCCAAAGATACATAAGTGCAACTATTACACAATTAACCGATGAAAGGCCAACAACCGATCAGCAAAATACAACATCAATGCTCGGGCCATCGAGTCCCTGTTCCTATTCCAAAAACAAGTATGAACCATATATCTCTATCTCACACATACACATGAAAAGATGGGAGAGCATACTCGAATCTAAGATGGACCATCATTAATATCATTCATTTGTCGCATCTTTGTAACACTAAGATGAGCTAAAGTCGCACAGATTGTCATTTGATAGTTGAGACAAACTATGAGAATATGTAGAACCCCATTATATTACTCCCAAAAGAGCCATTGAGAAGAGGAAGAAAGATTCCACAATATATTGAAAAAGAATTAACACTCCCAACACAAACATTCAACAGGCATCAAAAACATTAAGAGTAAGAGACAGATAGAAGGATGCACCTTGATCTGAAAAACTCTAACTATGGTATTCGCAGTTCTTATTTGCCGTCTGCAATTTGCTTAATTACAAGTGGTTACTGGTTAGAGATCTAAACGAAAACCCCACATCAACTCCCATAATTTACATTAGCAACCTACATTGCATATAACCTACGACTGAAACCCATAATGCTTTTCTCTCTCAAATGGAAGTTTTTCGAGCTGTATATTACCATTCTCAGACACCAAAACTTCTGTTCCCTTGTTCTCTTCATTTTCAAGATCTTTTAGAGCTTTCTTAGCATAAACCGTAAAACCTATAGTCATAGCTACTGCAATGATGAAGGAGATACCGTTGTATATAATTTCCAGTGGAGTCAGTCGGTGGTTTCTGTACTGCACGTCTGCAAATGTCCGTATCAACCGCCCACTGCAAAAGTCTCAACAAAATTAGATCAGTAGCCTGGTTGAGTTGGACTAATGGTTAGTTGGGTAGAAGATTTGGAGCAGATACCTATAGATATAAATGAAGGCTTCTGGAATCATTCCAGCAATAGATCCACACAAATAGGGCCAGAATCTCATACTTGTGACTACTATCGCGTAGTTAAAGATGGTGTATGGAAATGGTGAGATCCTAAAGAGGGCGACAACCCGGAATTGCTGAAACCCGTTTCCTTCGCCAGCCAATCTAATCATTGCAGCTGTCTGTGGCCATTTCGTCAACCATTGCTGCAAATTTCATGAAAAAAATTAAAAAAGAAAAAGTCAGATAAAGCAACGCTTCTCCATACGGGATTTTTCCAAAAAAAAAAATGCTATGTTTCCTATCTTGATAAATTTTCGATCCTAATTTCCTTGTTTTGCCCATTAGTAATCATTAGCAACTTACGTGGATGCGATCACGGAAGAGGAGACCGATGAGATATGGGAGAATCATGCCGACAGTTGTTCCAGCCATGATTATTACAAATCCAAGGCCATAACCAAATATCATGCCTGCGAGCCACATGGAAGGACCAGAAGGGATTAACAACACCGGGAAAAATGCCAAAGAGGCTACAAGTATCAGTGCAAGAACTGGACGACCAAATGCAGTCGCCTCCCATTGCAACATCGGTAAAAGAACCTGCACCAACATCACGATTTAAACCACAGAAATAGGATATCTATAAATTTGTATTTCAGACTAAGGGGTTGTTTACTGAACATTTATCAACTCTTATTGGTTAGCTAAAAACTTACCTGTGTCATTTTGCTAACAGAGAATCTTATCTGGTTAGCACTTACCAGGTAAGGGACGCTCATATTGTACTATTTTACGACATTTTTGCCCAGAGGAGTTAAAAGATCTCATTATTATCGTTTTTACCATGTCAGGTGAACATCAATAATGTCTTTCCAAATTATCACAGGTTAGAGCCTGAAGTGCATTTGGTATGCGAACAAGACTAGACTGGACATGACTAGCTGTTGATCTGGTGTTTGGTGCGACTAGGATAGGACCGGACAAGTTGTTTGTATAATGTTTGGTAAGCTGGATAGGACATGACAAAATGTTAAAATGACCAAATTGCCCCATCAAATGATGTTTAATGTTTTTTTTTATATCATACAAGTCATGAAAGACACAAATCAATTAAACATTCAGATAATTTAGTTACATATATTTATAAACATTATTATATGATTGCTTATTTGTCAAATGATAATTACAGATAATATAAAAGAAAGCTACATATCCTCACACTTTTTGTATATACATATTTATGCGGACAATGGTTTTCAAATTCTTTACCATATGCCAAACTCGTAACCAAACTGGATTTTTACTCCCCCTTCTATTGAGTTGGAACCTCCTTTCTCTACTAAATTTTCTGAACTTACTCTACATTTGTCCATCACATCCCCCTAAGGGACCGTTGTAAAGGCTACAATCTGAAAACCAGGTGAACTATAGAAGGCAGCATCTGAAGTCCCATTCAGACTAATTGAACAGTAATCACAAATCTTTGATGAACATCTGAATATTTGTATTTGTCCATTTTGACCTTCCAAATGTTATGTTATTCAAACTATAAGTGGTGAATCAGTCAGATCTCAAAGCATTGGTAACTAATTCTAGAGCTGAGATCAAATTTATATCATCCAAAGCCAAATTCTCTTGATCGAACTCCCATAAACGACTGACAATGTTGTATAAATCTAATCAACTTTTGGTGTATTTGTTCTCATCTTTTTGGGGCATAATCATAACACAAGCAGGCCCAAATACAATTTACATAGTTAAACATGTGTATGCTGAGTTCAGAAACAACAAGAAGCATTTAAAATCATCCACTAGATAATCCTTTGCAAACCATAGGTCCTTGTATTCCTTAAAACACATATCCTAATGATCACTCACTCAAATCCTCGATTGTTTTTACAAACATATTCATCGTGTTCTTCAACTCAACCCAACCACCTCCTGATCCTCTTCCATGATTGAAAAATCAGCATTCTGCAACATACCCTCTATCTTTGATGTTGTCCAAATCCCTATCTGCTTTGTACCGATCATATCCCTCTTATCTCCAGATTCCTTTTCATACTTGTTCCATAATGAGTTAACCCACTTCCCCACCAATCCAGCAGCTGCTGCTGACAGAGCTGTTACCAGTGGTGGAGCAGCAATGGCTGCCACTATGAGCAAAAGAAAACTCTGTAAAAGTGGTCAACAGAGATAAACTAGATCGAGCATTTTTTCAAGCAAAAAAACAAAAGCCCTCAAAATTTATTTCCTTTTAGCACCCTCTACCCTATCTTTTACTTCTTTCTAATTTCTGGTTTTACCTCTGCATCAGTTCAATTATGTTGCCTGATATGTTACTGATTTATGAAGGTTCACTCTTTTAAAGTCCTAAAAATTTATCCTAAATGCTCAAAATATATCCTTGCATGGAACGTCCATCTTCCAAACTTACTTTTCATTCTACATATATCTTTGGCACAGCAACCCTCAAAAGCTTCAAAGCTCAAGCCTTCCTCAAGGCATATGTTACACAGAAAGGACATTAATGAATACACAGAAAGGACATTAATGAATGTAACAATCAATGCCTAGTAACCAAAGGGCATTTGGCCCAGCATTATCTGGTAACCAACCTCACCAAAGGTAGAGTTTCATTTGCCTTGTATAAATATTATATACTAAAAAAAATAAACGGTTAGTATGAGAAGCAACCAGTGTGAGGCCAGCATATCCGTATGATCAAAAGATAATACATAACCACTCATAAGTCATAACATACCGATAGATCTAATTTTGAATGGTAGTTGTGGAAGAACTCCAACACATCTCACACTAAAAACCTGATTCAACGATAACTTTCTTCCAGGTAGCTGGCATCACCTCATATCAATAGTACAGACCAACCAACCAACCACATCTCTACTTGTTATTTCTAAGGAGGGAGATACCGAAGAGCCAAACCAAACCAAATTGACCGAGTAAGTCCCAATCGAAAGTAGGGTTTGATGGTGAGATGTAAGCAGACCCGATCTCTATCCAAAAGAATAGAGGGGAATATCGAAGAGCTCCTTTCTCTTTATAAATGATATAGATCATAATTACCATGAAAACCTTCCGGTCCTTCATATTATACATGACACATAAAAAACCACCTGGACAATTTCAGATTATGAATATCTTATAAAGTCATCATAATGAACATTCAAGCTTAATTTCTAGATAATCCATCCACTGGTATTAGCATAAATGGGTAAGTATAGTAAAACAATGGAAAATGTCATGAGATAAGAATAGGGATATATACCTTCTCAAAAATAAATGGCACGCCCCATTTCAAGAAAACAATCGTAACTATGATAGCAATAATGGACAATGTGACAGTCTTGATCCACCATTTCAAGGATTCATTACTTCTTTCTGTTCGAGGTTGGAAGGTATCAGCTTCAGCAGTCCCTCTTTCATTAGATATAACCAATCTCACGTGTTCGCTATCTTCTCTTGCAAGACCTCCAACGCTCATGTGCTTTGCATCATCTTCTTGGGATGGCATCATTGCTGATGGTATATCTGAGATCTATCAATTATACCTTCTCAGCATATGATAAAGAAGCATATTGAAATGCAACACAAATTTACATAATAAACCAAATGAACCTAGTAAATCTCAAAGGTAGGGACTGGGATAGAGAGGCTGTTTCCTAACAAACAGACGCTTACATCTTGACGATAATTCATTGATCATAATTGGAATGATATACTTTCATCCCCTAATAATTTGGTTTCAAATATGTCTGCTTGAATTCAGTTCTCATGATACTGGGTACCAACGTTATATTCAACAAAGATCTGAAAGAATTAGGCACTGTTTTCTTATCCAATTTGAACAAGTACACTTTTATAATTGTTTAAGAAACCATAACCTTCATGAGATAATCATATAAAAATGGTTGGATTTTATATACCGCAACTTAGTTTGTAATTAAATTAGAACTTAACCGTACATTATCTGAATTAGTCAAACCATTTCACCAAGTGTTCTTGTATGGAAAGCCCCAACAACAACCAAGAAAAGAAATCCTCATTTGACGTCTGTGTAAACTTGTATTGGTGTTGCACATTAGAAAATGATTCTTGCATATAAATTAAAAATAGAAAGTTTGAATTTCTAAAATCAAGAGTAGATTGGACCTGAGGAAGTAAAGTTGTTGCTTTTAGGTATCAGGAACTCCACACAAATTCTCAAAAATAGGCTTGAAATCAGTATTCAATTGAACCCAGATCACCGCTTAGCTTCATCGACGAAAAGAAGCTACATCAATTACAGACAGAAATAAAATAAAAGTGGAATTGGATTCTGTCCGATGATCCATTCAAAAGAATCGCCAAAAAGGAAACATCAATTGAAAGATGGGGCCGAAATGAATGAAAGAATCTATAAGGGTTTTGAGAACACTTACAATCAGCCGGTGAAGGTGAAGCAGAGCACTGGCAACTCCTCCTACTTTCTCTCTCTACTTTTGTTGTTTGAAGGAATCGGTTGTTAACTGGGATGATTGTGGGTGTACAGAATTTATGGGTTTTCCTTTGAAATAACTCAGAAAAGATTGATAGCCTCCCTAATCTAGTCTTGGGGAGTAGTTCGAAATTTGAATATTGAATAAATCGTCAAGAAAGTGGAATGCTAGGACGCCATTTATGAAGGAATATGCCACCATCTTGTGAGGGTTTCGTTTTTCTTTCTAGATAACCATAGTTTATAGTCTTGAAAATGAAATCAAGTTGAAGAGCAAAATACGTATTTGGTTCATGTGTTTGTGAAAATTATGATTAGGGTCCTTATTCATCACACTATTTATTATTATAGTTAGTTTGTAATTCGTAACGTATCATATCATATCGTTGGAGCAAACCGTGTTAAAAATATTTCAAGGTATTTTGATTTTTTTTATTTCTTTAATGTTTTCCTTATAAAATTATTAAAAATGTGTATATTTACGCATATATCGCTTTTGTCGTAGTTGTCCCTATCTTCACAAATCCATAATCAATGTCCACTTCTATAGGTTGGTTGATACAAGTGATGGTTCTCGTTGACTTGAGTTTAGAAAGAGTTCTCTTCCTTTACCCAAGTTCTCATAATAGACTCTTTGTCCTCCTGAGTTTAGAGACTGCAATAGGTGAATGAGTTGGTCGTCCCTGCCTTTGTCGCCCCCATTCTCCCCTCTGCACCTCACACGTCTCTAGAGGGGGATCCATAGTTTTCTATGAATGAGGTTGGACTTTAATTATACAATTATTTTCTATGAGTTTTCATCTTCTTTATCAAATATTGATTTGTAAGATTAGCAAGTAGGTAAGAAAGGGGTGGAAACTTTTGTCAAAAAGAATTATTAAACGTGACATCTTTTGTACTAGGTTTGCACTTGAATCTTTGGGCCTAAGTTTGGGGTTTACCTCCCATGATATTATGAAAGGGAGGGAATCTTCTTGTTTTAATTATGTTTTTGTAGCTCCAAAAAGAATTTAGTTTACTACCTTCTAGTGTTTAAATTTCAGTTCCAAGTTTCCAAGTAATATATGCAAGTATTTTTCAAATATTCATGTTTTGTGTCATTCCTATAACATTCCTCTTCTTTCAACTCCATTACTTGCTTTCATCTTTTCATTTCTAGCATTAATTCATTGTCACTTATACTCCAGTGATTTACTTCTTACAACTTATATTATGTCGTTACATTCCAAGTACTTTATATTTCTAAGTCATTTACAATTCCTATAGTTTTGTTACTTTCATTACAAGTTTACATTTCTTGTCATTTAATATATGCATTCTACTTTTAGTAACTCTTTTCAGCACTTTACATTTTATTCATTACATCTTTCATGGGAAAACTGAGCAATAATGGTTAGTTGTCTTAGTTTGGGGTGTAAAAGAAGTTGAAATCGAAACCAATAGGATAGTAGATGGTGCTTCCTTATAGCATTTTTTTTCTAGTTATTCATTTTGGTTAAGATTGTTTCTTTAAAGATCACATACGATCAATTGACATCTAATTGTATATATGAAAATGTGTTAGCTTCAAAATCTTAATAAACATGAAAATCTATTTTGGTATAGGAAGGTTATAGGGAGTTGTAGTTGTAACACCCCCAAACACCACATTTGCATATAACACATATTTCATTACATAGAAATATAATTTACATCACAAGGTCCCACTAGTACAAGGATACTTATATGTACAAATCTACATATGAAAAATTCCAAAACACATCCTGTACTAACACATGTAATACAACATGTATCTTCAAAATAAGCAAACTTAAACAGATCTTCAAAAGCAGATAACAGGTTAGGAAAATAATCACATTTTCCCTTTCCCTTTATTATCTCTGGACCACGCCATTCCTACATTGCATAATTTTAAAACAGAAAATGAGGGTTAGACCAGAAGGGTCTAGTGAGTAAATTCTTTCTTGCAAACGCAGGGTGATGAACACCAAAATGTAATAACGTATCTTTGCTTTGAAATATTTGTAATATAATCAAATAATGCAATTCTCGATGGCATATATAATAGAGTAAATTCAAGAACCACAGTTCTATTAAATAAATACATCTGCTTAAGAATCTAACATTCTCAATATGAAACAAATATTGTGACCAAGGCTTCTTAAATCACCAAACCATTCCTTTGTAAATTTTTAAAGGAAAGTTTTAAGGCAATACTTGCCTTTTTATGATAAACCATTTTCCCTTTCTCAATAACATCTAAATTAATATTTCTAATAAGAATAATATCTCTAATTCATCAAGTCACAAAAAAATAATGATTCAAAGTTATTAAATCCAATTAGTAATAATAATAAGAGTTATAATAATATCCACATATGACAATGCCTCCCTTATTCCAAGTACACCTCTCCTTGATATGCCACCCTTATTCCTCCATCAAAACAGGGTTACTTATGAGAACGGACAAAAGTCACCACGTCTGAAAGTACCCATTCCCAGTTCCAAGCCAGAACAGACAATAGTCACCACGTTTGGGGGAACTACCACTTAAAACAAGTTTCATACCAAAATAAACTTACGTCACCACGCTTGGTAGAAACAGTTACAAAAATCCAATTCCATACCAAAACAGATTTACGTTACCACGCTTGGTAGAAAGGTTTCCCAAAATATAATTTTATACCAAAACAGACTTGCACCACCACGCTTGGTAGAAACAGTTATAAAAATCCAATTCCATGCCAAAACAGACTTACGTCACCACGCTTGGTAGGAAGATATCTTTTTATTTAAAAAGATAAAAGACCCCTTTTATAAATCCACAATTAAACCCAATAATAGACATTTTAAACTATATACATGTCTAAAATATTCAACATTTGAAAATTTATCAAATAAAAGTCACCCGGATAAGTTATTCGGATATACAATCCGGACAACACTATCCCTTCTTGTTCGATATACTAATTCGGACAAGACTTGGTCGATTTAAGACTAAATCGCATGACTCATATCCGATTTAAAACAATCCGGACAATACATGAACGATTTCAGACAATCCGGGCAATACATGATCGATTTATAACTAATCTGCACGACCCTTAAGCGATTTAAGGCTAAACCGCACAATGTTTGGTCGTATTCATACTTCTCCGTTCAAAACCTTTGTTCGGTTTACATAGTTCAAAATTCTCACTAACACCCTAAATCGCACAACACTTAAGCGATTTATGAATAAATCGGACACCTCCTATCCGGTTTAAGAGTAATCCGGACAAGCTTTGTTCAGTTTAGACTTAATCCGGTCACCCCTTGTCCGAATAAGGACCCTTAATTAAAATACTGATTTCTTTCCAATAATAAACAACATTCAAGTAAAACCAGTAACAAATTTTATGCAAAAAGGTTTAGAAATCATTCACCTTTGAAATTTAGCAATTGCAAACCCACTTTGATTCTAAATATGTAAGAAATCCAGACAGGCTTTCTCCCAAATCTCACAAGATTTTCCAAAAGAAACAGAAACTTGCTTTTCCCCACAAAACTTCGACTTATACTTTCCAAATATGGAAAGTCGGTCAATCCAACCTCAGACCATGTGCATGCATGTACATAATAGCTATCTATTCATGTATCTTAAACCCATACACACACACACACACATACACACTTGCATGCAGCATATATATAAAAGCATGCATACATATGTATATAACACATATCTTGCATATAATCTATGCATGAAATACATGTACTTACGCATTTTAACCCATGTAAGCATGTATCCACATACACAATTAATTCACATAATAAATACCTTGGGTAATAATCAGGACCCGGTTATCACATTATCCACCCCTTCAAAAGAATTCCGCCCCGGAATTCCTTTAATTAAAGAGCCATGGATAATCTACTCTCATTTCTGACTCCAATTCCCAGGTTGCTTCTGGTCCTTTGTGAAACTTCCACTGTACTTTAACCAGGCTGATTTCCTTGTTTCTCAACACTTTGATCTTTCGGTCAATCACGGCTTCTGGTGTTTCCACAAAGTTTAGTTTACTGTCTAGTTTGACCTCTGGTAACGGTACAGCGAGACTCCAATCAGCTAAACACTTCTGCAAATTCGACATGGAAAGTGTTGTGAATCAAACTTAGCTCTTCTGGTAGTTCTAACTGGTATGCCACTGGCCCGATTCGTTTGCATATTTTGAATGGCCCAACATACCTTGGACTGAGCTTACCCTTATTCCCTAATCTGATGACACACTTCCATGGCAAAATTTTCAATATCACAAAATCACCTACACAAAATTTAATCGGCTTTCGACGATTATCGACATAACTTTTCTGGCGATCTTGTGCTGTTATGATTCTTTCACAGATCTGTTCAATCTTGTCTAAAGTTTCTTGAACAATTTCAGGACCCGTCAACTGCCTTTCACCTACCTCATTCCAACACAACGGCGTTTGACATTTACGTCCATACAATACTTCATATGGTGCCGCTTGGATGCTGGAATGGTAACTGTTGTTATACGCAAACTCTATCAGTAGCAAATGATCTTCCCATGATCCCCCGAAATCAATGATACAGCTTCTCAACATATCTTCGAGAGTCTGGATAGTTCTCTCACTTTGCCCGTCTGTTTGCGGATGATAGGCTGTATTTAACCGAATTTCAGACCCTAGAGCTTTCTGCAAACTTTCCCAGAACTTTGAGGTGAAACGACTATCTCTATTAGAAACAATAGACAGTGGAACACCGTGCCTAGTGATAATTTCTCTGATATAAACCTGAGCCAGCTTTTCTAAAGAGTAACTTTCTCTTATAGGTAGAAAATGTGCTGACTTAGATAGGCGATCAACAACTACCCAGATCGCGTCATACCCCTTTGGAGTTTGAGGTAACTTCATGACGAAATCCATCGTAATATGATCCCCATTTTCATACATGAATCTCCAAAGATTGAAGACTTCCATATAGTTTCTAATGCTCGATCTTAACTTGTAAACATGTTAAACACTGTTCTACATATCTAGCTATATCTTTCTTCAATCCGGGTCACCAATAGAAAGATTTTAGATCTCGATACATCTTGTAGGTACCTAGATGAATAGAGTATCGGGACTTATGGCTTTCATTCAAAATTACTTTCCGGATATGCCCAAAACTTGGTACCTAAATTCTCCCTTGAAAACACATAATCCCTTTGTCGTTT